CAGTTCGCTGCCTGTCCCTGGTGCGTGTTCAATCAAAAGACTGACGTGCTGTTGCTGCAGCTAGCTGGCCCCGGTGTCAGCAAGTCAATATCTGATTCAACGCCAAATTTTCCACAGCTTATAGAACGTCCCCAGATACCAAAATGAATATCCTTATCTACTTAAACAGGTGTTTTTTGTGATTTGTCTCTATATTTACTTTAACCTGGTTAAAAAAGAAGTTGAGGTTGAGGGAAGGTGGAGAATGAGACCAAATAGCATCGAATTTGAAAACTATATATATTGGACCCTAAATTTGGGAAATAGCCTTTGGCTTTACTAAATCTTGCAGCCTTAATCCTGCCTCTTATTTATTGCGTCTAAGGAACACGCCGCTGCGTCCCAGATACAAACCATGAGCATCTTACGGGTCAGTCCTTTGACTTACTCACATTCCTCTTTAATGGCTATGAATGGTTGACCGCTGATGTTAACATCATGGTTTCGTTACATGAAGGTGATTCATTTGAACACTTACTCGTGGTATTAGATTAGCTTGTAAAGTGGACCTAGAACACAGACAAAGGAACATCCGAAGTCTCTTATTTGATATTTTTGCCGCTCAAACATTTTTTCAGTTTGTCAGAAGGGTTTTATTTCTGCTCTGAGGACCCGAGCTGGGGGCCCGGAAGACCCAAGAGGAGAGGGACAGCGACACACGCTGCGCACGTTGAGTATTTCAAGTGGATGATTGAGCAGCTACAATCAGTGGTGCTGTGCGACAGTCAGGGGGTGACATGGTGTGAGTACGGCTGCTCTTGGATGTCTCCTTTTGAGGACACATTTGAGTTCTTGAGGACCTTAGGAATAAATGACTTTTTGTTGTTTAAGGGTCAGAACTTAATACTGTTGTTAAATACATTGCATGTATTGTGATGTAATTTGAGGATTGGTGTCGGGCGTTATACTAGGAAATATTAGACATTCAAACATGTATGTGTGTGCAGCAAAAAGTAAAACAATATTTATTTGTTCTTTAATGGAGAGTGTTACAATGCTCTTCCTCCCCCCTCTCTTCATCCCTTCCTATCTTACCGCATCAGCTCTCATCTAATTACTGAAGTACCAAGAGGGGGTGACCTCATCACCCCGACGCCATGGTAACGGCCTGCAGCCGTGCACCCTTGGTCCCCGGGATCCTGGGAAGGTGGAGGAATGTGGAACGTGATTGGTCCGCGAGACGCAAAGTGGACGCAGAGGGTGAGATCGGCGCAACCTGAGTATGGATTAAATGACAGCTAGAATAGACACGCACACACATGCACACACACAACTGTGGCAAAGTATTAAACGACATAACACCCTAGAGCTACACACACACACACACACACACACACACACACACACACACACACACACATTATTACACATGCAGTATCGGAGTCTAATTCACTTTGTCTGTTCAGGCTGCAGGGCAGATCTATGAAGTAGTGGAAGTGAAGGGTGCTGAAAGCCCTTATTTTCATTTATTCACATGAGGTCAAGAGTCAAACTATTTTAAATACTTCAGTTGCATTTGCTTTACTAAATCACCTTGATAACAGCTTCCATTTGAGTTGTTAGAGCAGATCTGATGTTACTGACAATGTAAATCAAGCTAACCTCACAACATTGGGCCTCAAAGAGACGGATAAGTCTAAAAGTGCTATTTTGAGTAAATGTTTCAGTTAATATTCAAAGAAACAATAATTTATAATTTATAGTTTAAAATGTTTGTTTAGATCCAAACAGGTAAAAGCAAAACTAGCTGTAAATAACAATGAATCACAGTTCCAGAGCCAGCTCTGATGTTTTTGTCATTTTGTGTATTTTCTACCTTGCATTCTTATTAGTTTAAAAGTAGGATTTTGATTACATATTTTTTGCCGTCTGACCAAAAACGTATTGACTTCTAAACAGTCACTAAGTTCTGTATATTTGCTGTCAAACAGAAGAAAGGAGCTCATTTTATTCACTAATATTGAAGTCCATCCTGTCATACTGTATTACGGCTGCAAACACCGTCACCCGTTCAGTGGAGTTTGCACTGCAATGTGCTGCATTTACTGATCCAGCTAATGCTCAAATCTTCAGGGTTGAAAAAAAATTAAGAAATTATTGACAAATATAACCAGCAGAAGCTTTAAATAAAGTCTGTGGGTTGCGGGTGTTGAAACATTGGTTCATTGTTGGTGCAAAAAAGGTTTTTCTCACACACACTCACACACACACAGACTCGTCCCCATTCAGCAAACCCACACAAACACTCATTCATTCAACCCAAACAGGCAGCTCTCTAATCTAAACAAATCTTCAGCGACAGAAGCAGAGCTTGACAGAAAAGAGCGTGAGGCGCTCAGGATGTGCATGGCTGTAATTTTTTGCCGCCGCAATTTGGATGTTCCCACACACCTGATAGTAGGAATCAAGCCGGTATAATGCATTTAATCTATAATATCAAAAATTGTGTTGGTCCTGTGCCTCTAAGCACACTACCCTGTATGTTTAGGCATCCGGGACAAGAACCAGTTTGCTTTTGAGCTGAAACGTTTGAATAATGTTCAGGATATTCCACATGGTGTTTGTCAATGTTTGGTTTCCAGATTGAACAGAAAACGGAACAGAAATGTTGATTGTTAAACCGTTGCAGTCCAGATAAGAGGGGACAGGATCAAGTGAACTATTGTATGAAGATTTGTACAAGGAAGAAAAATGTTGTCGAACAGAAATTAGGCTTCATAATAAATGCTTTTGCTATAATGGAAACTTTAATGGGAACAATAACTCCCATCAGGTTCAATCACAATTCTTCAAGCGTATCTTTCAATTTGAATGTGCTGTTTCAACATCACCTCACATCCTGGAACAGCAGAATCTACACTGCGGTTGCTTTCACTCACCCATATAACTCTATTGAGCAGGATTCCTCTCAAACACCCTACATCAAAACGCACAACACTGTCGTTTGGAGTCAGATGGGAAAGGTCAATAAATGTGCATTAGACTGTTCTGAGGAACAAACAGAAACCGTGTACACAGGGGGAGAAAGACACATGGACGAGACAGAAAACTTTTCCCAGTTCTGAATGTATAAAATCCAAATAACGATAAAGATTACAATCTGTAGTTTGGTATGTTTATTTACTTCATCTAACAGTTTTTTTTCAATCGCTAACAAGCGTTTGTCTAAACAGTTGTCACATTTTCAAAACTCTAAACACAATTAGCACAGCATCGGTGTTTTGTGGCCATACCATTCACACATTTCATGTCGTATATGCAGTCAGTGAACACAATGCTTACATTTTTCTTAACAGACAAGCCATACCTCCCAACAAAACGATGGATTGTTTTAGTAGTATTCATACGTCACATACGGTAAGTATTGCATTTTACATGGTTTGTTTCTATTCTCATTTGACATGTCAATAAGGTCATACAGTAATGCATATGTTGATTTTTTTCTTTTTTTTCTCTAAAGAATGCAACATCTTCCACCCTCTGGGGGAAGAGGAAAGCTCTTCAATAATGATCAAGAGCTTGCCATTGTAGAAATGGTTATTGCAAATAATGCAATTAAACTGCATGAAATTAAAACTACAATTGTGGAGGACCATGAGATATTTGCCAATATAGAAAGCATCAGCCTCACAACCATTACGCGGACATTGTCCAAACACAGAGTGCGGATGAAGCAGCTCTACACTGTTCCCTTTGAGAGGAACAGTGAGAGAGTCAAGGAGCTACGACGACAATATGTCCAGGTATAGTGTATATTCAATTCAATGTCCAGTTATATAAGCTTTGCACTTTGCAAGTAGGTAACCTACACAGTAATGGGTTACAGTACAGTATGGTAGACACAGTAATGACACGACATAAACTTTGTTTCAGAGTTATGGAATTGGAGGCCAACCAGACCCCTCATGAATTCATTTACATCGATGAGGCAGGATTCAATCTGTCCAAAAGGCGTCGACGTGGACGAAATATAATTGGAAAAAGGGCCACAGTTGATGTGCCAGGACAGAGAGGGGCAAACATTACTATGTGTGGAGCAATGTCAAATGCAGGATTACTCCTTCACAGATGCCAGGTTGGACCCTATAATACAGAACGGCTCCTTGCGTTTCTTAATGATCTCCACCAGCGCCTGGTACCAGAGCAGGGTCAGGAGGGTGAAAACATGAGGACCTTTGTAATTACCTGGGACAATGTTGCTTTCCATCATTCACAAGCAATAACAGCATGGTTTGAAGTCCATCCAATACTGGTGAGTCTCTTCCTTCCACCCTATTCACCTTTCCTCAACCCCATAGAGGTGTTCTTTTCTGCATGGAGGTGGAAAGTTTATGACCATCAGCCACATGACCAGATGTCCCTCCTTGAAGCCATAGATGCTGGCTGCAGGGACATCACAGTTCAAGATTGCCAAGGGTGGATCCGACATGCCAAGCACTTTTATCCCAGGTGCATCGCCTTAGATGATGTCAGATGTGATGTTGACGAAAACATGTGGCCAAACCCTGAAGATCGCAGGGATTAGATGCATACATTTTTTGCTATTTTTAGTTCCCCCTTTTTCATCTGAGCTTTTGGCTGTTGTTTTTATTTTTTCAGAATGCTCGTGTGTTTCATGGATATTTAGTTAAAATAAAATAAACATTTTCTGTTCTATTATACTGTTTCTACTGTACCTTCTTTGGTAAACAGTTAAGAAAAAATAACTGATTTGCTTTTTACTGGAATGCGTTTGAATGTGAACATTACTGTACATGTGCGCATACAGTTCCAAACCAATACATTTAGTGTAAATGGTGGATTGCATGTTACCTGAAACATAAAAGTCTATGCAATTTTTATAATGTCAACAATAGCCAGAATTTTGAAACCTGGTGTACTTTGTTTGACTGCATGTACCTTGTGAAGTGAAAACAAATGTTATTCCTTGACAGAATAATTTCATTTTGAGTCAGATTTCCATTGTTTTGGTAAAGTTAGTGTGTGCAGAGAAAGATGTGTTCTGTTTTTAAATTAAGAGTTAGTATATATTTAACAAAATGTGTTTTTGAGAAGAAAATGATCAATTTGGCCAATTGTGTCTTGTAGGTGTGAGTGTTAAGAGTTTAGAAAAAAATTCTGAAATATGGGTAAGTGCTTGTTAGCGATTGAAAAAAACTAAGACTAAGCGCAATTTTTAACTGCTCTCAAAGTACAGAGCGAAGTGACCAAAGAGGTCATCTGCAGTATCAATTATTCGGGGGATGGGGACTTGCAAAGTAGCTTGCGATCCGAAAAAGCGCGGGCACCCCTGGAGTAGACCATCTACGGGACACTACAAAGATTCATCTCACACAAAGTCACAGAGCCATTCTTAAACCAGAAGCATGGGAAGACAAGTTCTGTGAATTTGTGATGAAAAGTGTGTATGAGCTCCTTTTCAGGTTTGACACGGTAATAAGTCAGAGTGCCAGCTTCCCAATCCAGAAACACTCCTATTTTTTTGCAACGTTGTACGTTCTCTTTAGGATTAACATCTTCAGATGTCCTCTTGTTGTTCCGCTTAACAGCTTTGGACAGCTTCCCGTTGTTGGGTTTGACATCTTTGGATGTTTTCCCATGAATTGCAGTGTATCTGGTCTTGTATCTGGTTGTGTATCTGGAGCAGAGCAGGCTCCAGGACTTGTCATTGCATCCCAGGCCACCACTTCTGTCCCATCTTCTACCCACCGCTCTATATGCCACTGCGATACCGACCTCCCCTTCACACTCCACCTCCCAGTAGCAGAGACCGTTTAGGCCTTTCTCACAAAACACCTGAGTCCTCTTAAATCTGACGGGGCTTTCAGGTCGTTGCACTTTCTCATTCACCAGTTGTACAGTTTTTGCTTTCCTGCCTCCATCAGACAGAACGAGCCTCTTGCTTGCAGTGCTTTCATCCAGCTTCAGATCATCGCCATCTGAAAGTGAAAAAAAAAAAATTGTAGCGTTTCAAGGGCTTAAAACATTGATGTTACGTTGCTTGAATAAAATCCAAACAAAATGAATTCCAGATTAAATCTAAGCATGTTGAATGTAACAACTCTCACAAGGTAAAAAGTGCATACATTATCAGAAACTATACTATCTGCTAATGAAGGTAAGTGGAAGGCTAATATTGGGAATTCATTTCAAATGTATTGAGCCTGACCTTATTGTCTGAGGTAGTTAATTAAAAGGCGCACCTTCAATGAATGACCTATTTTAGAACATTTTTCATATATTGGGCGCACCAGATTATAAGGCGCATAAAATACTGCAGTCAAACGATTGACGTCGGGGCCGGTGGATGGGGGGGGGGGGATGTGGGGAGGTGAAGACGGTGCTTTCAGGGTCCGATTGATGCTGCGAGGTGCGTCCGCTCCCGCCGCCCCCCTCGCCATCCACGCCTTAAATCTTCGGCTGCTTTTAGAATAATTTATTTCCCCCGTTAAGATGGTTCAGCTACTGTAGAGAAAAGGGCACCGTCTCTCGCTCTTTAATCTCATGAAGTGCTTGGCGAGAACGATTTTGTTTCTCCGACGCGCCCTGAAACAAGCTCCATATCTCACGCGCTTGAGCGCCGCTCAGCATCTCGCCGTCGTAGACCTTTGACATGTTCGGCAGAGCGCCTTGAGCGCCGTGTACGAGTATGGATCAACCAATTAACCAATCAATCCATATATAAGGTGCTCCGGATTATAAAGGCACGGTCGTTTTTGGAGGAAATTAAAGGCTTTTAGGTGCGCCTTATAGTGCGGAAAATACGGTACATATTAAAGAACAAATAAAATTTGTAAAATTTATCAAAAAACGTACACTTCTTCAGTCCTGCCTTTAACCGATGTGCTCCATCGTGGTCCAAACTGCAAAATAAGGATAGAGTTGTCATTAACAGACATTTTGAAATTCAATTCTATTCTCTATATCGTTTAAATGGTAAAGCTCCTATGACAAAAATGAATAAATAATTGTTTGTGTGTGTGTAGGTAACGCAACGTGAAAATTCAAGGACGGAGGAGCTTTTGATATGCACAGAATAAGTACAGCAGATTAAAAGCCTTGACCCACGAGATACACTGGGTTTCAACATCTGAATCTGATCCACAGGCCTTCACCATTTACAGCTGGGGTTGATATTATTTTTCTTTTAACACCATCGTAATTTTTTAGGGTTTTGGTAATCAGCCTGCTTAATAATACGATTAGATGTAGAAGATAGTTAAGATTTTGCATTAGTGTACATGTAGTCTTATTATTATTAGGAGAACCAGCTATGTCAATAAAACTCCAAATGTACCAGAGTGTCTTCAGGCTCATATTTGGATCTTCAACTATAGCATTCAGCTCTGCCTTCCCGTTGACTCCTGGGTGATTGTAGCTCAGATCCAGCAGTTTTAGGGTGGAGGCTGTATTGGACTTGAGTGCAGAGGCCAGGAAGGAGCAGCCTTTCTCCGTCACCTGACAACCTAACAGCCTGCAGACGACACACACACACACACACACACACACACACACACACACACACACACACACACGCTGTTTTTTTCAACATACATAATTTCCCCTATTTCTAGGTCACAGGTTGAACATCACCAGAACATTGCTACATCACAGGAGGCGGAGGCAAGATCACATTGAGTGACAAGCTTTTGGTCACTCAGACATAAAACTGTAGCGCAGGTTCAGTCAGGAAGACCATAATCTTGCATGCGTAGAGCTGTGGTTTATGTTAAATACACTTACTTGAGAATCTCCAGCCTACAATGTGGACTCTGCAGGCCTCCCGCGAGCATCTGCACACCTGAATCCAACAGGTCGTTATGACTCAGGTCCAGCTCTGTCAGATTAGAAGACGGGGCGCCGATCACTGAGGACGCGAGACCTCTGCAGGATTCCTCAGAGAGCTCACACCAGCTCAGCCTGTGAAAATATTGGTACGCGTGAAAAAGCTTCTTATTGTTATTATTGTATAATCTCTGTCAATGTTTAGACATCAAATAGGCCATGCTGTTGAAATGTGCTAAATCCCATTACTATATGGTAACGACTTCTAATTGCAATGGTACAACTTCCTTCTAAAAAACTGGAAAAAGTCTTAACCCAAATTACTCCACCTCAAAGCAATTTGGAGATAAGATATGAAAACTTTTGCCTTCAAAAAGTTCAGGTAATGACTTTGTCTCTGACAAGAACAATTTTCGGATAATTTATATCATTCCACAGCCATCTCCATGTTAATGCTATGAAAAAGTCTCAAAACAAACCTCCTCTGGAATAAGTAAGGGGATATATATAAACAATAGTATCACTCCTACACAGACATATGCAGATGACACAGGCTTTACATGCATTTGAATACTCTTCTACTAAAACTACATCACAATTAAAATTGGCATTTAATGTTCCTCAGACATCTCTGCATTACCTAGAACTTGTACTAAATATCCACAAGAATGAGATCTGTTCTATTCTTTATAAATCCAGTTAAAGCTCCCTACCATTCCTGTGATCAATGCTAGCCAAATCAAATGGTCCAATCTTTAAAAAAAAACTTTTCAAATGCCATGTGCAAATTGAGCACATGGCACCAAAATAAAGGAAGTTCAGAGAGTACAGACCTCTAGATAGGCTGTTAAATTAAAAAAGAATAACAAAAAATGTATGTTCAATCCAACATGGCGGAGAGACATTCACTCAAGAATCCA